AGCAAAAGAAATGCTGAGAAAGACATGTCTTTCAGGTTATTTTTAATTAATCTATATTCTTAGTAGTAATTTTAGGTTTCTCGGAAAGTCTTGCCTTTTTCTTTCCTGTTCTTTGTTGCTTTACATTATGTCTATCTTTCAATTCACTCATAAATCAAGTTATTTTAAGCTTGATAAATATACTTTTCCTTGAAACAATTCTGTATTAAAATAATGCTATGGAAGGTGTTATATTTGTATCAGCATTCATCTTTGTCAATTAATCATTCGCTAAAAATATAAATTTATGTAATGTGATTTAGTCTTTACATAAGTGCATTACTCTTTATTTGATGTTTTATCTTATAGATCTTTGTTCTTTCTTTTTTTTTTTCTTTTTTTTTTTTTAAACTTTCCTTCTAGTAAGGCAAAATAAATGATCGAAATGATCATTAGCCTTTAACTTTACAAAAGCAAAAATGTGTGTGTGATACTCTGAGCCATCAAATAGTGATTTAAATTAATAAATATAAAAAAATTGGCCCTTGCTTGTTTCTTTGATTAATCTGGGTAAAGGCTTCGTTTCTTAGAACCTTCCTCATTCTCCCCCACCCCCTTCTCTCTCTTATAATGCTTTCTGTGCTGTCTTAAAACCTGGTCAGGGTTTTTTTTTTTGTTTTTTTTTCTGCCACGACCGCCATGTTATTAACTCATGATTGAGTTTTGGGGGATTTGAGGGTTTTGTGTTGTTTTGCCTTTTTTTGTGAATAGTCACTAATGGGTATTTAAAGAAAAAAAAATCAAAAACACACTTCTTTTTATATTTTTTTCATTGGCAGCTAGCTGATCCATCTATTTCCCTTAAAAGATTTTTGTCTTTACTGTGATTCCTTTTTTTATTTTCCTCTTCTCCATTCAATGTCAAATTTCAATATCTATTTGTCATTTACTAGGAGTGGCTGACATGACTCATTTGGTGAAAATATTGACCCTTTTAACCACTGTTACTGACATCCACAATATGGTTGGCAATCATTTAGGCTTTGAGCAAGTCTTTCACACCTACAGTTGCTACATTTTATGTACTTACAAAAAAACTGCAGTCTCCAATAGATATGTCCAATTTATAAACAGTTGTATGCAGTGCAGATGTATTTACATTGTTGTTGTTGTTTTTGTTCCTATTTCTTCTTAGAATTAGTTTTCTTTTCCTTCTATGTGATTTTACTTTAATTTTTTTTTTTTCTTTTTCTTTCCTATCATAACACTTTTAGAAGAAGGTGGGGGGGATTTTTTTATTCTCATGTCTATTAATCTATCTTTTTACAATGTCATTTAACCTCTTTTTGTTATTTATCCACTTAAATGGAATTTCTCAATTCAGTTTTGTAATGCATCAACCAATTTATGTTGGGATACAAAGATTCTACTACAAACAAGTTATCTTGCATAGTTAGAACCAAAGACCAAACACATGGGCTACTTATTGTATGGAATGGTTTTTCTTAAGTGAAAATATTTAGATTTAAAAAAAAATTGGGAGAAGAAAAGAAAAAAAAACAAATGACAAGAAAAAATTGTATATATTTTCATGGCATAAAAATTGACCTTAAAAAAAAATAAAGGAAGGGAAAGTGAATTCCTCAGTTTTCTGTAATCCTCTTTGTAAATACCATTTTACTATAAAAAAAAAAAAAAAAATAAATAAAATTACTCAAGATATTTTTTTTGCTCTTGTGTACAATGTTTTGCAAAATTCTTTTAAAATGTTTCCTCTTGTTTCTGGCTTCAATCCATTTTTTCCTTTTCTTTTCTTGTATTCTCTCCTGAATATATATATATATATATATATATTTTTTTTTTTTTTTTTTTTTTTTTAATGGAATTTTTGCTATAGATATTAAAACGCCTAGACATTGTACTCTATGTTTTTATTTTCTTTTTGCATAGCATTTTGGACGGACTATTCTCTAACCATCTTTATGATAAAATTGGCCAATGCACTTTCAGCAAAAGCAAACAGGAGAAAGCATTGGCTGAAAAAAAACAAAACAACTACAAGCAAAAGATCGTATATTAATAACAATCAGTGTCTTGGACAACAAAATAAAGGTATTGTCAGTCTTGAACATCTGAAATTTCACATGTCAAATGTGGTGGGAGGAGAATATAACATTATTTAGCAAACATGGACTTTCATGCCTGCAAAAAAAACTGAATGTCAAAAGGATGATTCCCCCCCTCCCTCTCCCATGACAAAAACATTGTTGAAGAGTGAAAGTAATTAAAATAAAATCTGTGTCATGGGAGGAAAACTGTTTTTTGGCACTCTGTTGTGTTTTCTTTTTTACAGACACAAAAGTCCATGTCTGTCCATTATTTTATTTATGATGCTTAATTTGATGTTTGACCCATAAAGATTTAACTTGAAATTGATTTTCTTGTATCTGGATGAAACATGTAAAATGTGGGAAAACAAATTTCTGTGCCAAATGTGGCCCTTAACAAGCAATTCACTTGAATAGTGCCTCACTTAGCTTTGTACAAGGCAAGCCATTATCAGTGAATTTGATCTTTGTTGGTAGCTTTGTTAAAATACCAAAAATGCTTGTTATTGAGTATGAGTTAATATGCTTGTCTCAAACTATTTGCTGGTGTTTGATCCTCACTGAGTGTCTTACTTCTATCATATCCTATACTCAGTTGAATGCTTTGATATTTTTAGATGTTCAGTCATTCGTGAGATACTCATAGTTCACTTTTCACGTACTTGTTTTCCCACAGTACTAGCTCTACTCAAATTGGTAATCCGTTATCTTTATGTACACCAACGTAAGTCTTTTTTTTTCTCCCTCCAGTAGGAATTTGAAAATCTGTTTTATAGCTAATACTTTTTCCTCAATGTTTTGGTAATTTTCAGATTTACACATTAGTATTACTAATGTCATCCAGGCTTAGCTTTGAACAAAGTTAATCTTGATATGCTACTGGAAACATAAAAATAAAGCTGAAGTTCGAAAGCAATATCAAAGTGTTTAATTCAGATCCTCCCACATATCTCTTGAGTCATGAAATTGTAAGCTAAGTTGGTAGCTGATGGTACTGTTCACATGAACTGTCCTGGAAAACTATGGATATCAACAGGCCCTATGAAGCAAGAAAGGAAATTTTACACAGAAGTTCAAGAAACCTGTTGAAATGTTGATTGCTACTTGTGATTACACTGTGTCGTATTGTCAGCAATGTCTGGATCATAATGGTCATCAATTTGAAAACATACAATGACAATCTTAAGAGCATTCATTTATAATAATAATAATAATATTGCCTTCATATGCATCTTTTAAATTAGATATAGTTAGTTTTAGATACTTGAATTATTTCTTGAGATACTTGGATATATATATATATATATATATAAGCTAAGATGAGGACAAATGAAGTATATATGAAGACTCACCAGTAATTTACCATTGTCTGAGGAGATACATTTGTAGTGTTGAAATACAATTGCTATTGTGTAGTGTTTTCTTAATGTATTTTTGTTTTAATCTATAATAAATAAAATTTATTTATATATATATATATATATATATATATATATATATATATATAAATAATATGAATCAGTACTTCATAGTGACTGCTTCAAGTGCTATCTTCCCCTATAAATATCAAATTTTAAACAATAATTATTCCACACTGCCTATACCTTTTATAAACACTCTATATCTGGTACTAAGTACTCCTCCCCTGTAAATATAGCAAATTTTAACCTTTGTACTACTGGTTATGAGATATTGTTTCAGAAATCTAAGACTATTTAAAAATTGTAAATTTCTGTTGCCCTTAGTTAATCATGTCAGACTATCAAAATACAGTGCAGACACATTCAGGTGCTCCCAGACTGCAAGTGCATGAAACTTGCAGTCATATTTGGGTGCTCCAGCTTTTAAGGATTAAACAAATACAGTCTAATAAAAAGTATTGGAACTAGTGCTATAAAATGAAAACTACAACACATATCAATTCAGCATTTAATCTCCTTTGAAGTAGTCCCCTTCTGAATCAAAACACTTTATCTGGTATCATTTCCATTGATAGAAGCATTCCTGGAACTGTTTTTGAGATAGTGAGAAGCTGTCTTGTCAAAGCAAGCCAAGATAACGTAACATCTTGAAATCTTGTTTCTTTCAAGTGCAATTTGATTTTTGAAGAGGAAAAAGTTGTAAGGGCCGAGATCTAGAGAATAGGCTGGTTAACAGAACTGTGGAATGTTGTTCTTGGCCAAAAACTGCTGCACAAGCCATGGCCACCAATGGAACCTCTATGGTGTGGTGAGATGACCACACTCTACACACTTTCCTTCAAAGTTCTGCTATAAATAATTGAAGTGAGCAAGAATATTATAACTTAGTGTGTATAGGGAACAAATTTCAAGGTCAATCTGTGCTAAGGGGCTTCACTTTGCGTACTTTAGCTCTGTTACCATAGCTAATCCTTATACTTTTTTATCAGACCATGTATATCTATAAAAGATTCAGTAAGCTCAAAAGATAGTAATGGCGAACTGGTGAGATCGATGAGGTAGCATGTTCTCTGCAGATTTGGATCACTGCTCTTTGTTCCTCCTTGCTGCACACTGCTAGCAGAGCAGCCCCTGTTTATACTGTAACAGCAGCAAGAAAACTGATGTGATCAAGCTCAAATTTTGATCATGTGACCATAATAGTACCAACTATAAACATACATGAGCAGAAGACAGTGTGACCAACTTAAAGATGTGTTAGGGCGAAAATGCAGATAATTTCTTACTTATCCTCATGTGGTTAAGAGAGATTAACTAGCATAGCTCACAAATTGAAATTAAATTTGAATTACTCTACAAATGGTAAAATTTAGAAATAAATTCTGTCTTGAAAGGGTTACTGCAGAGAAGAGTCACCTCTTTCTTTCAATTTTTTTTTTTTTTTTTTATAATAATAATAACCTACTAAATTTAATAAACTACTCCGGGCTTACAACCACATCATCTTGAAATACTGGTTCACATAAGATCACTGAAGTTAAGCACCATCCAGCCTGGTCAGTACCTATATGGGTGACTGCTTGAGAATACCAGGTGTTGTAAGCTTAGGACTGCAGGTGGTGTAATGAATGATGGCTCAGTATTGTTAATCGGAGAGTGGAGTTCCAATTCTAGTTGGGTTCATTATATGCACTTAAGCTATGAACTCACCTCTTCTTCCCCAGCTATGGGTTAATTGTTAAGACTTGTATCACTAAATCATTATCTCAAAAAATTGCAATCTAAACATATTTTCTGGTTTTAAATAACCTGCAAAGGGTTGATACGCTGTAGAAAAGGAATGAATAAATAAATAAATCAATTTAAATAACTCCATTACTGACATCAGAGTGGTTTAAGCAACATGAGTCAAACTATCTTACGCTTACAAATTGAGTAGAAGAGTGGTGGGGGGATTCTCATTGATTGAAGGGAAAAGCCAAGCTGCTGATCTGACAAGGCAGTTGTCTCAAATGTCCCCATTCATGCCATACAAATAAATCCATGAATAAACAAACATATTGGTAACAGTTTGACTCTTCATTTCTCACAGTGGTGTGAATTATCACCTTTTGTTTCCTTTTCACAGTTTTTGTGCACAACAATGAATGAGCGGTGCAACATAGGGTTATTTCTCCAGTTGGTGAACTGCTCCAAGTTAGATGAACTGAAGGTAGCAACCAACAAGAAATTTCTGGAATGAGTCAAGAGAAAGGATGTAATTGATATTCTATTGAGATAACGCTCGACTGTATGTTACCTTAGTGGCTGGGCAAAACATGGCTATGACTAACTTAGTTGGTCATAGCTTGTCCGAGCTGGTCTAAGACCAGCTTAGACCAGTGGCCCGAGTGAAAACACTCAGGTTCCCCACATTAAAACTGACCTTGTGTCACATCCTGACTCAGTGGGACGTCAAGTAAATATCTACTTGTATGACTAAGAAGTTTTCATTTCTCCACCACATTTGATCAAATATAGCCTCTCTGAATTTATTCCTATTTTCACAAAATTCTCTTAATTAAAATAAATAATTCCTGCATGATCATGAAGGGCCACGGAACATTTCTGTTCTTGGAGGTTAGAATTACAAAGTTGCCTAAAAACCAGCAAAAAATAGTGGAACAAAATGATAAATCAGTAAGTAATTACCCAGCCGCCTCACTAAGAGTGCCATGCACATATATATCAGCAAAGGACAAAAATTTTTACCCAGTCCCCACAACTACTGTTAGACTGGCAGCACTCGTAGGATTGGAAGCCCTGGGACTGGGCCCCTAAACACTAGGAGAGACATTTATCTCACTCCCAGCCAAAAGCAAACTCCCATGCCAGGTTGTTAATGATAAATAGTTTCATAAACTTAATGCTGAAAATTTAAAAGAATATCTTTTTATGCATTAAAACATTTTTCGAACCATTCTCTATCATATCCTACTGTTCATATCTATCTTTCAGGAGCACTTTGATATAGTGTAATAGTTTGCAAGCTTGTCTTATTAGATCAGTTATGACTCGTGAGTTCAATCCTCACTTGGTGCTCCATACTTTCAGTCTTGTCACATCTAACCTAAGGTTAGAAAATTAGGGCACTTCGATGTGTAATGGTTAGCAAGATTGTCTAAATCAAATACAACTGATTAGTGAGTTCAATCCTCATTGAATGTTTCATAACTTTGGCCTTGTGCTACATTGAAGCTATGCTTAGGAAATTATTTGGACACTTTGATGTGGTGTAATGGTTAGTAAACTTGTCTTGCTAGATTATTTACAACTGAATAGAGAGTTCAATTCTCATAGGGTGTCCTATACTTTTGGCCTTGCGCCACACCTAAGCTAAGGTTAGTAAATCACTAGCTTTCTGGACAATTAATTTTATCACAACGGACTGTTAACTCTTTTTAAAGTCCAGCCTACCACTGTAGTGAGTTTGAGTTTTATTGAGTGCTCAATACTTATACTCTTGTGCCAGACTGAACTGATTTTCGCGACATTTATCATTCAATTCACACACTGTTCTTATGCTGGAAAAAAAGATAACAGAAGCTATAATTACGGAGTGAAAAGAAATTAGATATGTTTTCACTATATATAACACCTTATCACATGGATGGAATGAAATAGTTGAAAGAAAAGGAATGACAAACATACTTTGTTCTCAGAGTTTTATACTGCTAAGTCACATAAAATTATATACACAGATTTACATGTCCCACACAGAAACTATAACTCATGTCTATACCACAAACAGTGTGAAAAGGAGACAAAAAGATAGGGTCTTGTAATAATTCCCAATTGGAATTGATGGAGATTCTAGTGTTTCTGGAGAAGATATACTTAGGATTCCAGATTTGAGCAAGTTGCATTTATCTTCTGTCACAAGTGAGGACATCCTGCAAACAGGAAATGGCGGGCCATGGGTTTTTCCCAAACTGAGGACTGGAGATAGTTTCTATATCTGGTATATTCCCAAAGGAAAACAGCACCATGGGCCTGTGCGCTGGCCCAAATGAAAGCAACTGCTTGGTTTGACTCCTGGAAGCTGACCAACTACTTTTGTCATTCTATGAAGTGACCGTTACATGGTCCATGTGACATCATCTCAACCAATGGGAGATGATTGTCTTTTATATCCCTAAAAGAAGGATCACAAAGCAGTAAAAAACTGTTTATATTGCCTTAAATAAAATTGAAGGGAAAAGTGCATCAGAGGTAAGAGGCAACATATCACAAGATGCACGTGTGCCTTGTGGTCAGTTAAGTACCATATGTGACACACACTTGGGTGATCATGTCTTTTTTTGACTTATAACTAAGCAGAAAATTTTCCCACAGTAGCTTGCCATTTCTTTCTATGGTTGACTGGGTCCTATAGACTTGGGTGGCAACCAACCTGTCCGGTTATTCAACCAATAGCTAGGATGGGGGAAGAGATGGATTCATACTATTCCTAAAGGTATTTACATTCAAAATAATGCAACAAATTTGTGTGGCACTGGGGACTCAGGGAGTTAATCAGAAAAAGGAAGAGGAAAGCGACTAACTGGATGATAACTGCTGAAATTTTCAGGAAGTGCATCAGAGGTAAGAGGCAACATACCACAAGATACACATGTTTCTTGTGGTCATTTAAGTGCCATATGTGACACGTACTTGGGTGATCATGTCTCAAGTGGATTGAGAAGAAAATTAAAAACCAAATGTGTTAAACTTATAAAATGGAATCAAACAGTTCCAAGGAGAATTGAACTCAAATTTAATTAAATTTCAGTAAGATTATGCAAAACCAAAACCATCAATCCTTCCCCACTTCCCACCAATAAGAAGGAGACAATTAATTTATCATCAGGGATGTTGATCCTGGGAAAATAGAAAACACGTTTCCAATACCTTATTGATAACAAAAACAGGTGGTCCCAAAATAACAGCTAAACTGTTCTGGACAAAGAGCCAGGAAAACATCTGGTTTGGATAGAGGGATCGTATCAGCTACCCAGAAAAAGTATCCCTACAAAAATAAAGATTAGTGCCTAAGATTGGGGATGGATTCATTTATTTTAATTTGTGACATTTGTCAAAAATATTTTTATAGCTGACTGAAAAACACATAAACAGAGAAAGATAATTTTTTTTATTACTAAAGATATTGAAAATATATTTTTTTTCCCACCCATGAGAACTGTGGATGAACAAAACAACTCTTGAGACTTGCTCCAATTATCTTAGAATATGGTAAAGTCCTTGGCTTGGAAAAAATCACTTAAAACAGACAAACTGATAAAGAAAGATTAATTACTGGAAACTCCCTTTTCGCCTCGGTCACAAAGGCAGTTGTATCAGCCTTTGGAAATGGGCAGAGGTTGGATGCTGAGAAGGGAAAGAGATTAGCACCACCTATCTGGAGAAATGGTATGAGATGTGAAGGGAGTTGGAGCTAAGGGGTGCGGCTTGATTCCTCTGAACACTCTAAACCCCTAAATTTGGAAAATTACTCGAGTAAACATAATGTGAAAATATATTTTAGAAAAAGGTTGATGCTAAGAGTGGGAGATAACTGAACCCTAGACCTTGGTCAACCCCACACCTGCTAGATGCTGGACTCTATATCAGATGAAGGTTTGGACACTACTGCTACTGGAATCCACATTGTTCACTGAGACTGTCTGACCAAGACCTTGTGCCAGCCCTGAATACTAGAACTTAGAAATTTAAAATACACAGGCTATAAACTCCAAAAGGGATCTCCTAGTGTCATTTGATTATAACAGTAAGTGATAAAGGTTAAAACTGGTGTATACAACAAATGATATATAAACCAAATTGTTGTTGCATTTTTAACCAGAATTAATTCTTTATTCCAAAGAAACTGTTGACCTGTTCTTCACTCCAGTTTACTTCATCAGTGATCCCCTCAGAACAAAAATGTGGCAGAGAAGTGAATGAATATACAGGAAACAAACACTAGCTAGATTGAGTAGAACCATGTTCATCATCAGGATACCAGCACTAAACCAGCAATACATTAATGAGTGACAAGTCAGCTATATGGTAGCCACAGTAGTCTGAAGGAACCTGAAGAACAATGTTACACTCGACTGGAATTTAAACTCTGCTCTCTGATTTCTAATTCTGAGTTAATATCCATGACATCACACCACACATTCCTTGTACTAGTAAACATAAAACCTATGAATTGTTTAATGGTGGCCGAGGCGGGGGCACAGATAAGGGTACTATTTTTTTTACTTTAAAATATTCCAGCAGTCAAAAATTTCTTAAACACACACTTCAAGAAATTTCCTTATTTGCATAAGCAAAAGTAGGTGGCAGATGAGATCAGGTAAGGGAGGGTGTAGTAATATACAGGGTGTTTCAAAAAATTTGATATCATTTCGCAATCTAATAACTTTGTTAGATATCCTTCAAATTTTAATAGCATCTTTATGTTTAATGTTCGTTTTATGTTTTTATGTCTTTGTGTTTTTCTTATTTGTATTTTTATGTTCTTTAATCTTTTTCTTTACAGGTATAAAAATGCCGTGTCTCAGGCGGTGCACATATTGA